CAAAGTATGCTCAAAGAACTGGTGCTGGTCCATGAACTCTTTGCAATGAGCCCATGATGATACAATTATAGAAACTGAGTGTGAGCATTTGAAAACTTAGTAACCTCGTATTGTCAGGACACCCAAAGTTCGGAGGACTCACCCCAATGAACAAGGTACAAAACCGTTTTATTGCTAAATGTATACAGTAAATCACCATGGTAAATGCTGCACATTGGTTATACATAGTAAGATCATGTGTCAGATACTTTGAAAAATACTGTTTCAGAAGATTTCCATGTGAAAAGAAACCAGTAGGTCCTGGGGTAGGCTAGCTCTTCTCTTTTCCCACTCTGGGTTCAATGAAGAGTGAATGTGCTGCCTAAGGATGAGGAACAGGAAGCTGTTCCCGCTACGCCACTGGCTATATGGGGTGAAGAGGAGGGCAGGAGTTAGCGGCCAGGTTATCAGGCAGTAACAAACTCAGCATCCAAGCACGCGACTTCCAGCAATGCAAGGAGCTTCCTTTGTTTTGGGAAAACAAGAGCTGCAAGAAGCTTCTCCTTGACACGTTCTTGCCTGGCCTCGGGAGGAGCCCAACCACCCCTGACACACAAACAGGACAGTCTCAGCCAGTGACAGACAAACCAGTACCCTGACCACAGCCCCTGTTTGCTTTTCCTTTTCCACCACTTCCTCAGTTGGAGGGCCACTGTGGGGCCATAGGTAGCTGCCAGCCTAGGTCACATTCAAAAACTTCACCCCCAGTGACCTAGTACTATCCATATAACTCTTCTACTGCTCTCAGAGCCTATATTCTCTCCCCAATATGGACTTTTGGTCTGAGGCCAAGGACTTCTGGATCCTTCTCTGAAGTTGTATGTAAGGCTAAGCCTTAGAGTACCACTCTGACAAAGACCATGGTATACTCTAGCAAACTAAACCCAAGATTAGCATCTATTCCAATACCCAAGAAGGACAATATTTGAGGTTTCACCAGAATATTCTAAACTTACATTTTTCTGTTACCCAAAGAGTCACTTGATTACATTAAATCCTTATCTTCCAAAATCTAGTTATCACCACAACTAAAATATATAAAACAATTAACCTCTTCATGATGTAGAATGTCAAAACAGAACTTCCAAAGAGTTATCTAGGGAGCTTTGGACAAAAGATTAAAAAAAAAAAAAAAAATACAATGACACCAGAACACTTACTCCTGAGGGTACACAGTAAGAGTCTCAACCTAGACCAATGATTGTAGAACATTTTCTCCAAAAGCTCTGAGAAGCAGGGCTAGCACATCAAGAGCCTTGGAGACCAGCAAACCTTCCTCCTTCTCTGATTTATCAAGGAAGCTTACTTTTTACCCTGAGGGCCCAGGAACCCAAGTTTCTATGAAGACTCATTTGTCCAGTAAGGGGCGGGGGCGGGACTCCCCCCCCACTCTGGGCCTCCTTCGTGCCAAAGAAGGAGGAAACAGAATAAGCAAAATAAAATTCATAAAGCGAAGCAGTAATTATGGTGTGGTCAACAAGAGGCTGCTCCTCAGGCCCATCATTATGTGGCTAAATTTAACGCCCTGTGCGGCCAGGGGAGCTGTGCGCCCAGGGCACGGTGTGTCCACACAGACGCCAGCTCCGCCACCTTCACCCGCTTGACAGCCACCAGGGCTGCCAGAAAGCAGGTCACAATTTTTTTTATAGTCTGTTTACCAAGATGCTGTTTTTACTGCCGAGGTTTCTCTCGTTTTATCTCTTTTTCCCTTTTCCCCAAACAGACTGGCCTGTATTTTCTGTCCCTTTTTTTTTCTTTCTCCCTCTCTCAGTACTATTTTCAGAACTCTAATTTTATATGGTATGTCCCTTTTTTTTTTTTTTTTTGGTAAATATTTGCCATAACTAAGCCAGGCACATCCAGTTTAAAAGGCTCCATCCCACAAAACATGAGGCCTTTAATGATATGCATCTCATTAGCTTGCCCCATGAAAGGGGGTATAGAAAAAAAAAAGCAACTTACAGACTCTCTCACTTTTTATATCTAGAAAAACCTATATTTATATATAAGGACAAGCTAAAACCCGGCATTCTGAGCCCCAATACAAGGCTAGTACAATGGTCATTTGATTGAAGCTTCTAGGCCCTAGAAGTAGTTCAGGAAAGATGGGCTCTGAATCTGTTTGTCATTGCTGGTCCATACAGGTGATTCTGAACAGGTCAATGCAGGAAGATCCTCAGACTCTGAGGTACTAGGGCTTTCTAGATGAGGCAAACAAACTCTGGGGAATCCTCTATTCTAAATTTCCCAAAATGGCATGGAGAGTTCTCTCTTTCTCTGGCCAATAAAATTAAAGAAAAGAAACTGTGAGTTAAGAGAGTGCTCAGAGATCACCTCCAAGTAGGAACTTCTACACCTCCTACATACAACCCAAAGGGCTTCTCCAGGCAGGCAAAGCCCCAACACTGAAGGCAGGGTTTCCTACTATATGTGTTAAGTTCGATGAAAGGAGGTCTGGAGTCGAATCTGCTTAGTGCACTGAACAAAGGGCACAGCATCCAGTAAGCAAACTCCAAATACTTGCTGTGATGCTTTTAAGCCCATATTAATACTCTCAGATGGTGTTAGGGGAGGTCTAGCACATAGTGCCTTCAATAAGAAATATAGGGAGAGGGGCTGTGGTTGTGGCTCACACGCTCGTCTAGCATGTGCAAGGCCTTGGGTTCAATCCTCAGCACCACATAAAAATAAAATAAAGATATTGTGTCCAACTACAACTAAAAAAAATCTTTAAAAAAAAAAGAAAGAAAGAAATACAGGGAGAACCATGCATGGCAGCACACACCTGTAGTCCCAACTACTCAGGAGGATGGGGCAGGGGGATTTTTTGAGCCCAGGATTTCAAAGGCCAGACCAGAGAACAGAGTAAGACCCCATCTCTTTGAAGGAAAATACATTTGGGAGAAGAGAAAGAGACACGAATTGAAAGACTCTGCCTGGCTGTTCAGGCAGCTTCTCTTGAGGAGTCTATGCTCTATAGAGGTCACCTAAGGCCTAGTGTGTCAAACTTGGTTTTCATTAGTTTATTTAAGGATGATCAGACTCTAGAGAAGTGAGTGATACCTACTAAAAACCATGAGAGGCAGGGTGCCTAAAATCCCAGCAACTCAGGAGGGCTGAGGCAGCAGGATCATAAGTTTAAGGCCAGCCTGAGCAATTTATTGAGGTTCTGTCTCAAAATTTAAAAATAAATAAAAGGGCTGGGGATATAGCTCAGTAGTAGAGCATCTCTGGGTTCAATTCCCTTACAATGTGGGGGGTTAAGCCCTTCCAGTGACTGAAATCTTTTTTTTTTTTTTTTTTTTCAGTAATAAGGATGGAACCCAGAGCCTTGTACATGCTAGGCAAACACTCTACCATTGATCCACACCCCCAGCCCTTTTTAGCTTACTTTGAGACAGGGTCTCACTAAGTCACCCAGGCTGGCCTCAAACTTGTAATCCTCCTGTCTCAGTTTACCCAGCAGCTGGGATTACAGGTGTGTGCCACCACATCCAGCCTGAAATATCTTTAGCTGCTTTTTCCAGGGAAGTTAAATAAACACATTAGCACTATTTGTTAAACACAGAAAAAGGGTGAAAGAAAAAAAAAGACAAATGTTTGTATGGAGAGTTTGTGTACACTGTACAAGGTGGACAAGTATCTTGTTTTCCTACATCATTACTTTGGGATATTCTAGACACATTAAAAATTTGTTATTGTTCCTCTGTTAATGTATTCCTCAGAAATCATGAATTAATACACAATAATTTTCTTAAATTGCTTATAAGTGCAGAGAGGTACACAAGTCCAAGAAAGGGATGTGGATTAGGAGAGGAGGCAGTACTTGGGGCAGGTTCTCTAGCTTTGGATCACCTCCTCTTTTAATTATGTTAGGCCTTAACACTGCATACACCTTGGTCTCAGACCTGCCTACCTCCCACATAAAGTTCAAGCATAGCCATGTAACATTCGGCAAGGCAGTAGGACATGACAGAAATATGCTGAATCCAAACTTCAGAGCCCTGGGCCCTGCTGTTAACTTCTAAAACTGTTTGTCTACACTACAGTTCTCTTACCTTTGTAGACCTTCATTCCCTCATAAGTAAAACAAATTGGCTTGATAAATCTTTAAACTAAAAAAGTCTCATACTGCTCATAAAATTCTATGACTGTAAAGTTCTGTATGAGATATTTTAGATGTCACAATTTCCCTCATTGAGGTATTTGCCCAGACCCTTGAGATTTGTAAGACACACACACACACACACACACACACACACACACAATGTGCCACTCAATGAATGACTTCTGTACATAGCTAATTCCATCAATCTTAGATTTATTGTCACTTACTTCAGTATGAATGGTTAGCCTACATTGGAGGAATACTCTGCTTGAGGCTGACATTTCCTTATGACCTCACTAAATTCAGCAATTTCACTTTGCTCTGCCCCCCAAATCCTGCAGCTTCCACCAGCTGCTCCTTTTTCAAACCAAGCTATATTATCATGCTACCATCTCAAGGTATCATCACTTTCCTAGTTTTACCCACATCACTCTGAAGGGATTCCTCAGAATAAAATAGTCTAAGAGGACAATGTACAGCATCAGAATTGCTCAAGCTTTATTTTTTAGATCAGATTTAATTTTCATTAGAATTGTTCAAGCTTTAAGCATAAGACTAACAGAAGCCAAAGAGCTTTTGAAGGATTCCCTCAAACCACTACACCTATGGAGAGTCCCAAGGCGTAACTGTATAAACTACCTAGTTGTGACTTTTCCATTGACAGCCATTCACCACACAAAATCCTCCAAACTCTTAGCTCAAGACTCACCTCTTCCAGCAATACCTTATCCTAAGAATCCTGGTATGAATCCCAGATCCCATCCAATGAGTCTGTTTCTTCTTCCTCTCCGGGGACAGACACACACACACACACACACACACACACACACAGTATTTAGGATATTCTTCTTGTGCTTGCGTTGGCAGACATATACTAAAATTGGAATGATACAAAGAAGAGTAGGATGGCTCCTGCACAAGGATGGCACATAAATTCATGAAGTGTTCCATATTAAAAAAAAAAAAAAAAAGAATATTCTTTAAATATCAGGGATTGAACCCAGGGGTACTTAACCACTGAGCTACATCCCCAGCCCTTTTTATGCTTTATTTTGAGACAGTGTCACGCTAAGTTGCTTAGGGCCTTGCTAAATTGCTGAGGCTGGCTTTGAACCGGCCATCCTTCTGCCTTAGCCTCCCCCATTGCGGGATTATGGCGAGTGCCACCATGCCCGGCAAGAATATTCTTATAGATATTTAAATTCTAGTGGTCTAATCTCCCTCAAAAGTCCATCTTTTAAGGGCAAAAAAAAATGTTTTAACTTTTCAATGGTGTCTAATAAGTTCTGTCCACATAGAGTTTAAACTTCTAAATAGAAACTATTTTTAATAATATTTTCAATGGTGTCTAATAAGTACACATAGAGTTTAAACTTCTAAATAAAAAAGCAAATAGATCTTCCACAAAGAATTAAAAATACTCTTTCTGGACCTTCTGGCAATTTCTCCCTTGAAAATTCCCTAAAAGGAGATGAGGATGCCCATGAAACCTGCAGTTTCATTCCCTAAACCCTGGACAGCTAAGCTGCCATCCTAAAGGACTCAGTCTCTATAGAACATTCTTTTCAATGTGGCGCACTAGTCAAAATAAACATCATCCATGTGTGAAGAATATGAGAGAGACTACTTTAGGTCTTGAGGTATACAAGTAAACTTATAAAGCCAACAGACCAGGTGACACTTAAAGGTACGTTGATACTTTCATTTTCTTTTTCCATTTCTATAATTAGAGACAATATGCACCAATGTAAGAGAATCCCTGAATGCCAGGCAAAATAAAATGTGAAGTTATTTTTAAGTTTAAGTTACTACCACTGACTGTGTACTTCTATCTACAAGGCACTGCAGTGGGTTCAGAAAAGAAAACCACCAGATGCAGTGGTGCAAACCTGTGATCCCAGTTATTCAGGATGTTGAAGCAGCAGGATTGCAAGTTCAAGGACAGCCTGGGCAACTTAATAAGACTATATCTTAAAATAAAATTTTAAAAGGAGGGTGGACTGGGGATGCAGTAGCTCAGTGATAGAGTCTCCCTCAGTTCAATTCCCAGTCCCTGGAAAAAAAAGAAAAAAAGCAAGAAAAAGAAAACAAATGAGCAAATCCATCCTTCCCTGAGAACTATAAAAACTAATGGAAAATAAGTCTAGAAATTCTTACAAGGCAAAAGTGACATAGGAAAGATACAAAGCATTGTAGGAGTTCAGAAGAAGAAAGAAATATAGCTTGTGTTTTTACTCCTGTTCATTTCATGATTTCTGTCATAACAGAAAAATCATGTATCATTTGTGCTCCCTCCCCATTTTTTTTTTTTGGGGGGGGCGGGTTGGAGATAAAACTCATGAACCTCTTGTGCATGTCTCTCTTTAAGTAAGGGAAATTGAATGCCCTTGGAAAGGACTTTAAAATCACTGGATAAAAATGTTACAATTCCTGGGCGGGGGGATGGGGGTGCGGGGAAAGGCTGGAAGTATGCAGAAATCCAGTTATCCATCTTCAAACTATTGCCCATCTTTTCAAACCATCCATAAATCCCAGAGGAAGAATGAAATTCTTTCCCTTAGCTCAGCCCTATAGATCCTTGCTCTCCTACTGGCCCTTTTCCCGCCTTCTTATCCACTGGCTACTCTTTGGCCTTCAAATCCATATGTGCCTTCACATTTTATTTTGCCTAAGCCACTGGCTTTCCAGCTGTCTCTCATTTCCTTTATGTTATGCAACTTCTCTGATGAGAGTTCTCCACTCATTGTCTCCATGGCCTTATCCATTGTCCTTCTTTAACTGCCTGCAATCACAGAGACTGCTCAAGATCCCTAATTGCCTGGTGATCTTTCCTATCAACTGCCCATTCTCTTTGATCTTGCTTGTGCACATGGCACTTCAGATCACCATCCCTGATCATGTGAAGTGCACAGGATTTGAATCAAGACAAATATGAATAAATCAGCTGACTGACCCTAAGCCAATTACTTCATCCCTGAGTCTCTACTTGTTTATCTTTAAATTCTTTTTTTTTTTTTTTTGGTTGGGGGGGGTGGTGTACCAGGGATTGAACTCAGGCACTCGACCACTAACCCACATCCTCAGCCCTATTTTGTATTTTATTTAGGGTCTCACTGAGTTGCTTAGCACCTCGCTTTTGCTGAGGCTGGTTTTGGAACTTGTGATCTTCCTGCCTCAGCTTCCCAAACTGCTGGGATTACAGGCATGCACCACTGCGCCCAGCTTGTTTATCTTTAAAATGAAGATAATCTTACCTGCTCCTAGGGTTATTGTAAGGATTAAAAAGTATAACTTATATACAACACCTAACATGGTGACTAGCACACACATAGTATGAACTTAATGTTGGTTAGTTTCCCTTTCTTGGCTAATCACTACACATTCCTGATTGTTCTCACATTTCCCTCACTGACTCCTACTTATTATTTCTTCCAATCAGAATGGTTCCCCAAATCTCAACTACTGGGTCTTTGTTTTGTTTTGTTTTGGTTTTTTCCTTTTCTTTCTCCATGCTCTTCCCAGAAAAACATGTATCTATTCTCATGGTTTCAGATATTGCTCTTTGGCCAGAAGATTCCCAAATCTGTTTCTATAGGGCCTTTTTTCTTTTCTTTTTTTTTAATATTTATTTTTAGTTTTAGGTGGACACAATATCTTTATTTTATTTTTATGTGATGCTGAGAATCGAACCCAGCGCCCGGTGCATGCCAGGCGAGCACACTACCGCTTGAGCACATCCCCAGCCCTCTATAGGGCCTTTTTTCAACTTAAGCTTCAACCTTATTTTTTTCTACTCTTTCCTGAGCATTCTCAATTGTATGTCCTATAAACAATTTAAATTCAGCATAAATATGAAAAGTTCTTTTTTATTATTTTTATTTTTTAAATTTTTTTTTTAGTTGTAGTTGGGCACAATACCTTTACTTTATTTATTTTTATGTGGTGCTGAGGATCGAACCCAGCTCTTCCATGTGCTAGGTGAGTGCTCTATTGCTAAGCCACAACCCCAGTCCCTGAAAAGTTCTTAATCTTTTGTTTTTTAATTATCTTTATAAAAAAGTCATTGTTTTTTTTTTTCCCCCTAGTTATAGGCTAAGGCATTGTTAAACTGTCACACTGTAATGAATGGACTTTTAGGAAACTCTTCATTAGGGTAAAATGGAGGACTATGTGAATCTTTAAAAAAAAATGCTCTGGCTGGGGTTATGGCTCAGTGGTAGAGTGCTGGTCTTGCATGTGTGAGGCACTGAGTTCGATCTTCAGCACCATGTAAAAATATATAAAGGTATTGTGTCCATCTATAATTAAAAAATAAATTTTAAAAAAGGTTGACTTTGTTAAAAAAAATGCTCTGGGGGTACATGAAGAAGCTTATAGGTTATAAACTTATAGGCCTATAAACAAACCTTATAGATCAACAAGGCCATCTGATGAGAGTTTCTACAGATATTTGTCAAAAATAAGACATCAATCTTGATGGCCTGAACAGATATCTCAGACAGGAGATTAAAATTAAATGAGAGACTAACAGTGTATTTGGTGGAGGTAAACAGAAAAAAAAAAAAAAGTTTTAATTTTAGGAGAGTTGGTAACGTCCTCTGAATGCAGTAAGACACACAATCCCCCCATGAGTGTCTATTAAATTGTGCTAGCCTATCTGGATCAGACACAGAAGTACTTGAGATTTCACTTCCTACAGGCCCCTACAACTCCCTATTGTTTTATATCTGACCCAATATACATATTGTCATATATCCCTGGCTGCTGAAGCCATCTCAGTTTTAAATATCTAGTTTTGAGTGTCTTAGGATAAAAAGTTTGGCATATGAGATTGCCCTTCACTATTGGGATTCTTAAAATTAGAAACTTATCCTTTGGAAGTGAGTAATTTTGTCCCATTTTTATTTTTTATATTGATTTCCTTTTTATTTCCCCTCAAAATTGTAATATATTTTCTGTTAAAAGTATAGGCCCTGGGCTGAGGTTGTGGCTCAGTGTTGGAGCGCTTGCCTAGCACATGCAGGGCCCTGGGTTTGATCCTCATCACCACATAAAAATAAATAAACAAAATAAAGGTATTTGTCCATCTACAACTAAAAAAAAAAAAAAAAAAGTATAGGCCCTTATAAAATCTTGTAAAAGGAAAATAAAGTGGACTTTTATCCATTTTGGGGGCCAAAAAGAAAAGATGATGGCCCCTGGTAACTAGGTTACTTTTACTATAGAAATCACAGCAAGAAAACCCCAAATAGAAGGCAAAAGTCAGAAGAAACATAGATGAGAAACATATGCAATCCCCACCCCCACCCCAGAGATGATTTTCATTCCAGAGCGCAAATACTGGTGGATTTGTGTTTGAAGCAAAGAAAACCATTCCTTTATATGCCCAAGATTAGATTTAATTGAGCCCCACCCATGATTTTCCCAGTCCCTCAATGGCACCACTATTCTTCAGAACTCTCAGGCATACCACTGACAGCCTGACCCTCCTAAAAGATCACCTTCATATGTCAGTTCTCCAGTCGAAAATTTCAATGGCTTCCCACTGTCTACCACAGTAATTAATAACTGCAAGGAGGAAATGCCCTAACTCCTTCCTAGATGTGCCCCAGTTTGAGAATTGCTGCACATAACTGATGTTAATATGAGGACTAAAATGGCAAATAAATGTTACAGGAAGAAAAACATTGAGGAACACCTTCAGAATAAAATACCACTTCTTCATCATAGCATTTTTAAGGCCCCCACAACTTAGCCTCATTATTATCTCACTGACTTCATTTTCTACTAATCCTCACCCATTTTTATTCTTACTTTTGCATCTTTGCCGGTGTGCTTCCTACCTAAAATGCCATCCACATAGCTCCCTATCAAAACCTTAACTAGAGGCTGAAGTTGTAGCTCAGCAGTATAGCACTTGCCTCATATGTGTGAAGCACTGGGTTTGATTCCCAGCA